ATTTTACAGAAAAATCACATGGTGACTTGAAGGAAAATCTCAGGTTCAAACCATCCATAATTGGCAAAACCAAGGTGATTGATGATATAGCCTCTATGAATCAGTGGGATCTTTTCTTTGTGTTCTTTTCCTTCCAGGGTTTCTTGATCTTCCCACCTTATCTAAAATCATAACACCAGCTCCTCACTTGCCTACTTCCCTGCTTTATTTCTTTTCATAGCACTTACCACCATTTGTCATGGCCTGTATCTATTTACAAATTAATTACTTGTGGTGGGAAATAAACTCTGTAAGAACAAGAATTTCTTATTTTAGATGTAACCTTCCCTTAATGGAAATTATCAGTTCTTTTGTATTTTTCAAAACAAATGTTGAGATATTTTTGGGAATAAAATACTGTGAATTTCATTTATTCCAAAAGAAAGTACATTTAAAGAGTGTATGCACATGTGTGTTTTTAATAAATGACATGAAACTTACTCTGTCACGTATATTATAAACATAGTTAAAAATTCCACTTCCTGGATCTGTGAGATTTTAAAGTACAGCACATTTTACTTGAATGGAGATTTTTATTCCAGAAAGTTATCAAACATGACAATCTGACAGTCTGTCATTGGGATGCCGTCACTGCTTTTCTCAGATCAACTGACAAGACCTCAGCTGGGCCTCTACAAGTTGCTTAAGAACACTTCTAGAACCATCTAATGGGCATGTTCCAACTGTCACTTGGCAAAAAAAAAAAAAAAAAAAAAAAAAAGATCACTAAAGATCGATCTCTACAGTGGTCTTCTGGCAGAAAACCAGTCATATCGTTCTCTCCAATTGAGCCTTTGTGGGGAAAAAGGCTTTATCAAATTCCTTGGACATGAAGTTACTGTTGGAACTATTCTCAAACCATGCTATGTACCGCCATGCAAGGAAGTTCAGCTTTAAAAGGTCAGGAGTGGCCTTCTAATGATTTAGATCATCTCATGATTGTTAGGAAGTGAAGAGGGTTATAATACCATAAAAGCTTTGGGTCTTATATGCCCTTTTGTGAGAAGAATCTGTGTGCCGTTAACTAAACCACAACTTCCTGATGTAATTATTAAACTGACCAAAACTGAGAGACTAACACAACACTCACCCTTCCCTGGACTTAGATTCAAAGTGTAGAACTGGGTCATTCAGATTGTGGGTATAGAAGAGAAAATGGAGTGTGTAAAAGGCCAGGTGGAAACAATACATTTATTTCCTATGAACAAATATCTATGCTTGGCTAATAGTTAATGTCAAAAAATTTAGTATTATAAAATTCAGCTTTATATTTTAATCTTGGATTTATTTTTCTTCGTTGACCAAATAGAAGAATATAGGTTTTCAAGTAAAAATATACTAGTATATTTAATGTGAATTTAAATATTTAAATAAAAATATTTAAATATACTAAAATATATTAAATGTGAATCCTGTAGAGGAACTGTAAGTGAACCTCAAAGCTAAAAATGTGACATTTTTAATGCTCACTCTTCCTAAAGTGGCTATACTAAGCTTAATGAAATCAAAATAAAACATATGCTGTGATAATAAAATTAAGCTTTACTCATAAATATTATATTATAGCATATATCTTAATTCATTTATAGATCCATAAAATAAGAGGACTTATCTAGACCTTCAAAAAGCTTTTAACTAGGGGTGCCTGAGTGGCTCAGTTGGTTAAGCATCCAACTCTTGATTTCGGCTCAGGTCATGATCTCAGGGTCCTGGGCTCCATGCTCAGCAGGGAGTCTGCTTGATATTCTCTCTCTCTGTCCCTCTACTCCTCCCCCAACTGGTGCGTGCATACCCTCTCTCTTTTTTTCTCTCTCTCTCTCAAAAGATCTTTTTTAAAAAGCTTTTAACTATATTTTTAAATTTTATTTTAATAAATGTTAAGTATAATTCTCTAATGTTCATTATAAAGATCATTCTTATTTTATGTTAGAGGTGTATAGTGTAGACATTATAAAGTTGGTATCTCCTAAGTACTCTAGAAATGCCAAGGCCTAATTTTGCTCCTCTTCTTCAAATGCATTGAATAACTTGCTCTCTTTGTAGAATATACGCGTGCTGTGACCTCTTATTTTGATGGAAGAACTAGAGCCTTTAGCAATGAAAGCTTAAACACATTTATACAATATTTTAAATTCCCTTGGTTGTTTAAACTGCATTTTTTCAAACAGGAGATCTTTTTAAGTGTTTTTGGTAGCATCTTAATAAGAAATAGTCTCTCCAGTAGAAGAGAAGGAGAGCAGAGAGCAAGAAGAGTTTCTAATTAATGTTATATTAAAAATAGCAGCTTGACATTTAATTCTTTGTCCTTCTCCAACTGTCTACAAAATCTTGCCTTCTACATTATGGTAATTTGTCTTAAATTGGCAGTCACTTGTACTGTGTATGTCACTTTGAAACTTGTAGACATGCTTATTTACCATAATTACCTGATTTTAGAGATATTACAAAGCCAAAACTCTAGTCCCTAGTCAAGCATATTTGAGAACATAAAATACATAATGGGTAGAAGTGTGTATTTCAGTTTTTAACCATATTTGCTTATATACAACATAATTGTGCCCACCCACTATGGTGTGTACGTGTGTGTGTATTTATATATCTATAAAATAAGAGGGCTGAACTGTAGTCATATGGCTTCGTGTAGAAAAATGTAGAACCACTTTATACTTGACTGATGACTGAAGTTTCAAAGAACATATTTCTTGGTAGTCCATTCTGTGACTTTATTTCTCTTAAATATGGTTGGATTAAGTTGCTCAAACTTCGGCACACAAAAGAATTTGGTCTCAGCATTCCTTCTTCGTGATTTAAGCTGTATTGTAAACTTGGGGTAATAAAATCCAGCAAATACATCTTATTACTAAATAATGCTTTGTCTTCCTAGAGTCAATAGCTACTTTAGCTAGATTTACTGTAAACTCTCAAGTAATTTCAATCTCTCATTTTGGAAACATTTTTTATCTAATTTTTTTTTTCTTATATCTGATGTAACTTCTAAAGTTATGACACTTATCTTTTGACATTCTGCAAGGGAACATGAATTAATCATTGAGTTTGTCCTGCAAGGGCAGAGGTCTCTTACTGATACCACAAGCTGCTTCTGCGATTCCAGCACAAGAAAACATCCCCACCACTAATTCATTCCTGCTTGCTCAGTCCCCAGTCTCTTAAAATTCTAGGTCCTAATAGAACAGAGGTGGATTCTATGTGTATGTAATGTTGATTCTGTTCTTGCACTTTCTGAAAATATAGAGGTTACTGTTAACATCAAAACAAACTGGGCCACGGGTTACTGTCTTTTGGAAGCATTTACAAGAAATGGCTTAATAAGCCCTTATTATTGTTACCAAAATCGCATTTTATTAATTAAGAATCACATGTGATCGTATATTTAAGACAAAAGAAGTCTAGCCAGAAAGCAAAGGAGAGTGATTTCATTACTGCTTATAATAGTACAGATCAGTTCAGAGAAGGAAAGCATTTGTTCAAGAGCAATGGTAGATTTTCTTTGAAGGTTGCCCAGAAAACAGATTTTATGTGAAGGACGACTGGGTGGCTTCCCTCATATCCTGCTGGTAGTGGTACTGACTGGTGTGTCAGCTTCATGGTTCACGTGCTTTTTCCCTTGATTGTTTTTCCTGCTTTCTCCCCTTGATTTGTAAGCAGCGTAAGAAGAGAAGCCTGTCATCTAATTCTTCGGTATCTCCCTTCACCAAGGAAGGGAGTTTCGAATGAAGTCGATGCAATAATATTGACGACATAGGTCATTAATTCAGGCAGGACTATGAATCTGCATCAAGAAGATGGGACTTACCAAGAGCGGAATACAGGATTCCATTCTCCCTACTTTCCAATTCTGGAAGTTACAGAGAATTAAATAATATAATGCTGGGGGATGAGTAGGGGTAGGAGGCACGGAGGACGCTTAGTCCTGCCATGACCTAGCTGTGCAGCCTTGATTTGCTTTGTAAAGTGAGGGTGTTGGACCAGTTGGTTTTTAAATTGCCCTCTAGTTCTAAGACCAATTCTATTCTAATGAAGGGCACCACAATTTCCTTACAGCAATTTCCTATGCCAGGTAATAGCTCTCTGAAATGTCTAAAATGTAGGACTTGATTTTACTCCATGCTGAAATGTGATCATATCCACAAAATGGACTATAATCTTAGTATATATATATAAAATATATATACTATATAGTGTATGTATATTATTAGTACCTATATATATATACACACTCACATGATCATTTATGTGAGTGTATATGTATTATTTTTTAAAGATTTATTTTATTTATTTGAGGGAGAGAGAGAGACGGAGCACGAGAAGGAGGAGGGGCAGAAGGAGATAGAGAATCTCAAGCAGACTCTCCCTGCTGAGAGCAGAGCATGATGGGATGGGGCAGGAGGTGGGTGTGCTGAGGGTGGGGGGCACTGGATCCATGACCCTGAGATCACGATCTGAGCCAAAATCAAGCATTGGGCGTTTAACCAACTGAGCCACCCAGGTGCCCTAGTACCTATATTTTTAATGACAAAAAAAAATATGTTATTAAATCTGAAAGTCTGTAATTTTTTTTGGTTGTTTTATAGTTGTTGTCTTTATTCATTTTAGCAATATGGTGTAATTTTACTTTTCCCTTGTCACCTTTACCAACTGTCAGTAGTAAAATTACTAAAGTGGCTAATAGTTGTGAACAAGTCTTAATCACTACATCCATGTTCTAGAGATGGCAAAAATGCTCAATCCACACATAATGTTTTTAGTCTAATGTTTGTGTGCCCTGTATCACCTTCAGCATTACTAGACTTGTGTATGTTGTGGATGGAACAGCATCTTGCCACAGTAAATAGACCGCCCCCCAGCAAAGAGACCACTGACCCTCAGTGTTGGTAATAATGTTAAAACAAGCCTACTGTTCTGTTGCTTTCTATCTCATCTATTTTCCATTTCTTTTTTAGGGTATCCTTGAAGATTAATCAGAGACCTTTCCACGCACCTATAAAGGTAAGAAAAAGAACCCTTCTGGTGATAAAATATGTTGTATTTGTTTTAGCTTTGTTTCAATAATGTATTCATTGAGTCAGACATAGCTAGAACTGATGTTGCTTATTCTGAATAACTGAAAAGTTTGTTACATCTGCTTATTCACTAAACTTGATACCATCCAACACATAGTATTTAATCATAAGTTTGGATTTTTCTTCCATACTATTATATACTACTAGAGTTTATTAGATATTATTATAGTTTATGTTTTACAGTAGACAGAATTTACTTTCTTTTACATTTTTATATTACTCTGTCCATAATTTTAGGGTGGTTTGACATACCATACACAATTTCCATATATCAAGAAGGCAATTTTTTAATATTTACATTTATGTGTATTAATATATATAATATATTATTAGAAACTGAGATTCTCTTGTCTACCCTAATTTCACATTTTGCTTGGTATTTTAAACCTGTAATTTTTAAAGAAACAACCAAAGGAAGCATAAGTATAATTAGCCCTCAGTGACTTAGTAATATAAGTATTAATTTGGAAGAATTTACTTCATTATTTGCTTTACTTAATAAGAATGTCAGAAAATGTGGCCCCTTTCTTGGCTAAGACCTATGTGAAGATAAATTTAGAATTTCTCCTCTAGTAAATACTTCTCTGATAATAGTTTAATTGTAGCTATTTCAAACCAAATTGTTTAATTGTGGTGAATCATATGCAAATTGTTCAGATGTAGGTCAACCTCCCACTCCCACATTCTAGCACCTCTTTTCTAAATTCAGGACAAATTGCTCAATGCCTAAAAGAGACAGAACAGTGCAGATTAAAGACATAAGACAAAAACCAAAACAACAATAACATAAAAACCAACAGTGGGCCAGGAGCCAGAAAGTTCTCCTAAAAATGGCAAGGCAGGTTGCATTTATTTATACCTTAGTTAACGATCTCTTATGCCTGCCAATAGTTTGCTCACTGCTCATGAGATTTGTGGCTGGCAAAGCTTGGTGCCTCTAGGATACCAAGTTTCCTTATCTGTAAATACATTCATTAATATCTTTCCTGTCCACTTATTGAACTGAAATGAGGATCCAGTAGGACAAGGAATGTAAAATAAGTGTGTGCCTGCTCTAATCCCACATGGAAAGAGCATGTTATTTTTGGTGGTCTGGTTGAGTGAAGAGTACCAGGCTCACTGATGGGAAAGAATATCTTGTGTAGTTCTGGGTGAGACCAACTGAGACATCCTGCAGTTGTAGTAGCTAAAGAAATTCTTTATTCTCCCAGCTGTTACATTATGTTCTAATCTATGGTTGCCTTTGTGATGGAGCATTGTATCATTTTCTGTAAATGGTTTTATGATTCTGTTGAATTTTCATGTGTTGTCTACTGTACGTTCAAAGAAAAAAGTGATTTCCAGTTACTAAAGCATTGAAAAAAGTGATTTCCAGTTACTAAAGCATTGAAAAGTTATAAAGCAGATTCATGAGTTTGTTACATTTGTTGTTTTTTATCTTTAGGCAATTATTGCAAGTGTTTTGATATATTGACAGAAAATAGTGAGCCTTGCTGGTTATTGATGAAAAACTATTTTGCTTTAATTCTAACAAAATTAGAATTCTGCCTTAATATAAAAATAATTTTTAGAATTATCATTCTTCACTGGAATTGACTGTTCAATAATTTGAATTTATATTTTATGTAATATATCATTTTAAATATTTTCTGTAGTTTATTCTGAATTAAATTATTCATTCATGAAATTATTGAAGAATTATTGAATTAAATTAACTGAGTAAAAAAGTGGCAGCAATTTTTCTAATTTATAAAATGGGGAAATGGGTGGTGTGTACCTTGTCTTTCTTTCAATATAAATATTTTTGTTTGAATTATTTAAAATTTAAAAAATTAAGAATTATATTAAATAGAAAATGCTATTTCCCTCAAAGTTAGCTAGTGCTAAAAGTTTTGGTGGAGCATTGTATCCACCAAATTCTTTCCTTATATGAATAACATTCTTCTTCATATATATAAATATCAATATCAATATGTGCACATAGTGCTTTTGATACAGAGAGGCTGGATCTGAGGACCCAGAGAGGCATCATCCCACAGGACCAATCAAGAGGGTCCTTGGCTGCACGCAGGATAAAAATCAGATGTGAGCCAGAGAAGTAGAAACAGAGCTTATTGAACAGTGTTGAGTGACCGGTAGAGAATAGCAGATGGAGTGTCTAGGAGACTCAGAAAGAAAAGCAGTAAGTCTTATCATTGCTTGGGACTAGGGGTTTCTACTAGAAAAAGGTCTAGGGTATGTGTTCCTCCAAGAATGCAGGGTTGGTCCAATCAAAGGAAGTCACAGGTGAACAATGAGTGTTATTCCATAAATGACCGAAGGTAGGGATATTGATGCCATCATCAGCCGAGGTTTGTTGGAAGCTAATATTCTGGAACATGTTTGGGATCTGGCTCTTGTTAGGTGTTGTCAGGGGTTTGGGGCCTAAGACAAAAACTCAGGGAATGATTAACTTTCTTGCTTCCCCCTTGAAGTGGGAACAGTGCTTCTTTGGCTTATTCAGAGGCAAAATATGGAACATGAGTAAATGGTGCCTCACAGAAAAACAGCAGAGAGGAGCCTTTCTACAATGGAGCCCCTTCAGCTTCCCTATCTCATTTTCATGATTCTGTTTTTTAACATTTTCATGGTAAATATGCTTCTAAGTCACTGTATGTTATCCATTTCATCCCTTTTAAAGGCCTGATGTTAAATAACTTTTTCTGATGTATCATGATTTATTTAATAGGCCCTCTAACCTTTTTTTTTTTTTTTTCAGTTTTTATTTTAATCACCCAGTGTTCATCAGGACAAGTGCGCTCCCTAATCCCCATCACCTATTTCACCCATCCCCCCATCCACTTCCTTTCTGGTAACCATCAGTTTGTTCTCTATAGTTAACATTCTGTTTCTTGGCCTATCTCTTTCTCTCTCTCTTTTTTCCCCTTTGCTCATTTGTTTTGTTTCTTAAATTCCGTATATGTGGGAAATCATATGGTGTTTGTCTTTCTCTGACTGACCTATTTTCACTTAGCTTAATACTCTAGAGCTCAATCCATGTTGTTGCAAATGGCAAGAGTTCATTCTTTTTATGGCTGAGTAATATTCCATTGTATATATCACATCTATCAGTGGACACTTGGGCTACTTCCATATCTTAGCTATTGTAAATAATGCTGCTATAAATATAGGGATGCATATATCTCTTTGAATTAGTGGTTTTGTATTCTTTGGGTAAATAGCCACTAACGCAATTGCTGGATCATAGGGTAGTTCTATTTTTAACTTTTTGAGGAGCCTCCATACTGTTTTCCAGAGTGGCTGCACCAGTTTGCATTCCCACTAACAGTGTAAGAGGGTTCCTTTCTCTCCACATCCTTGCCAACACTTGTTTGTTGTTGGTTTTAGGCATTCTGACAGGTGTGAGATGATCTTTCATTGCAGTTTTGATTTGCATTTCCCTGATGATGAGTGATGATGAGCATCTTTTCATGTGTCTGTTGGCCATCAGTATGTCTTCTTTAGAAAAATGTTTATTAATGTCTTCTGCCCATTTTTTATTTTATTTATTTATTTTTAAGATTTTTATTTATGTATTTGTCAGAGAGAGAAAGATAGAGGGAGGGAGAGAGAGCGCACAGGCGGGGGAGAAGCAGGCTCCCCACTGAGCAAGGAGCCTGATGCAGGACTCAATCCCAGGACCCTGGGATCATGACCTGAGCCGAAGGCAGATACTTAACCGATTGATCCACCCAGGTGTTCCAGTCCTCTGCCTATTTTTTAAATGGATTATTTATTTTTGGGGTGTTGAGTTTTATAAGTTCTTTATATATTTTAGATATGTCACTTTATCAGATATGTCATTTGCAAATATCTTCTCCCATTCCATCGGTTGCCTTTCGGGGTTTTTTTTTTTTTTTCCTTCACTGTGCAGAAGCTTTTTATTTTGATATAGTCCCAATAGTTTATTTTTGCTTTTGTTTCCTTTGCCTCTGGAGACATAACTAGAAAAATGTTGCTATGGCTGATGTCAGAGCAGTTACTGCCTGTGCTCTCTTCTAGGATTTTTGTGATTTCAGGTTTCACATTTGGATCTTTAATCCATGTAGAATTTATTTTTGTGTATGGTGTAAGAAAGTGGTCCAATTTCATTCTTTTGCATGGTGCTATGCAGATTTCCCAACACCATTTGTTGAAGAGACTGCCTTTTTCCCATTGGATATTCTTTCTTGCTTTGTCAAAGATTAATTGACCATGTAGTCATGGGTTCATTTCTGAGTGTTCTGTTCTATTGATCTATGTGTCTTTTTGTGTGTGTGCCAATACCATACTATTTTGATTGTTATAGCTTTGTAATATAACTTGAAGTCTGGAATTGTAATGCCTCCAGCTTTGTCTTTCTTTTTCAAGGTTGCTTTGGCTATTTGGGGTCTTTTGTGGTTCCATACAAATTTTAGGATTGTTTGTTCTAGTCCTGGGAAAAATGCTGTTGGTATTTTGATAGGGATTGCATTAAATGTGTAGATTGCTTTGAGTGCTATACATATTTTAATATTTGTTCTTCCAATCCATGAGCATGGAATGTCTTTTCATTTCTTTGTGTCATCTTTAATTTCTTTCATCAGTGTTTTATACTTTTCAGAGTACAAGTCTTTCACCTCTTCAGTTAGGTTTATTCCTAGGTATTTTATTTCTCATTTAACCTTTTTTTTTTTTTTTGAAGTAGAACTTAAAATGGAATAAGGGAAAGCCTTTCTTAATAACACTTTTGGCAGGCATACAAAAGAATAATTCCCATTTGTACATTGAATCAGGAAATTAAGGAGTGAAGAAAAAGTGTTACAGTAAAGAAACATAAGAAATATCATTAGGTAAGTGGACATAAAAGGTCAGGGAAAGAAAAGCTAATAATAGCAATGTTCATGCAACTATGTCATAGGTATGTAA